GAAAAGGGGGAGAGAGAGAAAAGGGGGGGGGGGGGGCAGAGAGAGAGAGAGAGAGAGAGAGAGAGAGAGAGAGAGAGAGAGAGAGAGAGAGAGAGACTACATTGTGAGCATGAAGGAAGAAGGGAGAAGCACCGCGAATGTTCGCGTATAGCCTGACTCCCGAAACCGAAAAACGGCACACGCAAAACGCCCCAACAACATCGAACGCTGCTATATGCAGCACTTTACAGCAGTAAGATCGGTGCTTCCCTCGGCTCACCCGCAAGTGGGGAAGGTGGTCGTGTTGGTCGAGGGCGTGGCGGTCGGTGCGGTTGTAGTGCTCGGCGATCGCTGCCGACAGGACGTTGGCCCGTCTGACATCTCGAACCTGCATACATCAGTGGCACACGCGCGTGTTGTGATAAAAAAAAGCGTACAGGGGTGCGTGAGCTGAGGGAAGGATGCGAGATAAGCGTACACAGAAATAGGTAGGCTGGGAGGACATGTAATTAGAGCGTAAAGGGATATGTAGGCTGAGGGAGGACATGTGACAAGCAGGATACTGTATGTAGGCTGAGGGAGGACACGCAAAGCGTTTCAGCGTGACATGCGCATCCCGAACGATGCTACTTGTAGTTCGGTTCCGCTGCAGAACGGGCCAACCGCAGCAAGAACCAATTGCTTCGCAGGAGGCTCGTTTCTTGCTTCCTCTGTGTGGGGTAACTAAACCAAACATTGACAACATAGGTTTCAGTGTAAGATTCTTTACTTGAGAATCTGTTCTTGTGGTCGAGTTCACAATTTTTTCTCGTATTGAGCCTGTTTTCTTGATTCCCAGGTTCGTAAGTTGTGGCGGGTTCCGTAATGTTGTTCGACCCGTGCCACAATGCTGTGGAAGGCAAGCCTTGACCAGCGGGATCCGCACATCTACGGGATGCGTCGCAACAGGGTAGGCTTGCCGGGAAGCGAAGCACACACGGTGCGACCGACACAAGCACGTGATTGGTGGGGTGCGGACAGGACAGACCACAGCAGTAGATTTCCGATAAGCACGCACACAAACAACCGTTAAGGTTGACGTGGTATCGTTTATTGCGACTCAGAAACAAACACACGCACACCCACACGTGCATTCACACGCTCGCCCTCTCTGTCGGTAGATAACTCTTTTCATTAGAAAGCGTGTGTGCGTTCGTTATCCTCTGCGGTGAGGCTGGCGTCTTTGCGTTGGTCAGCCGGCTAGCGCAGTCGATGCCAATTCAAAATCCAAAGACACACCACACATCACTGGCTTCCTTCCAGGGACAATGATTGTACCCGCTGGAACTGACGTGTTCTCATTGGCCGGCCGGAAGCAGTGCGGTCGATGCGAATAAACAAAAAAAAGAGACGAAAAGAAGTGTCGCCGAATGGTAGACTTGTCAAGTACATCCAACGACCAAGGACTGAGAACAACGTCGGCGTTCAGCGGAAGGCCAGATCGGAGAGAGCATCGAAGCAACGATCGGTACCCACTAGGCGATGCCATCCTCTTTCGCCACCAGGTTTGGAATGGTATCGCGACTGCCGCTAGCCCTATGTACAACGCACTCCCTTTGACGCAAATCTCCGCAGGGAGGCGGGCCAAAGCCACAAGAGACGGCGGCACGTTTTGCTGCGGTTTACATACATCCTTGGGGCGCCGGTGTACCTGCTGCAGCTGCTACTACTTGTCGCGCTGCTGCTGGTCAGCATGCGAGGAGGGCATGTTCTTCTGCTCGCGACTCGCCCGTTGAGCCCGTTGTGCGAGTGTGAAGCCTCTGTCTCTCTCTCGTCGTTCGTGGCGAGAGCGAAACACCCGATTGTCTTGACAGCAGTCTTGCCATCTACCCTCGAGTAGACCACGTTTGGGTTGCGGTTTGCTCGCCTCTAGTTCAGAACTCATGCAGCGTTTTGCTGTCTTTCCTGTGTATGCTACACAAACAATCACCAGATTTTATCTTCCAACCATGGAGTCTGGGGGTAGACTGGCAATGAAAGCTAACGTTCATTAATTACGGCACGTTATTCCGCTGGTCTGACCCGGAGCCCAGCTTGCTGGAAGTCCAGGTGAAAACAGTTAGGCTCGACCGAGATTTGATTGTATGTTGTTGTTGTTGTTGCCGTCTTCACATACAAAACCGTTCCGATCTCTATCCAGTACCTTCATTTGTCCGTACTTATCTAAAACTTAACGCGGTCGATTCCGGCGGTCACAGGCTGCCTTACCATACCATGTACATGGAAAAACAACCCCCCCCGTCATCATCCCGCCCCCCCCCGGTGTTTACCATCGGGGTTGGGTTTTCGTCGCTTGGCAACGACGTCGTAAAACAAGCCCCCCCCCTCGGTGTTTGCCATCGGGATTGGGTTTTCGTCGCTTGGCAACGACGTTGCAAAAGAAGCCATTTCACTTCGTGAACTCGGCAACCAGGTTACCGTTTTTTTTTTTTGCCTCTGTTTTTTTTCGGCGGTAACCATAATGGTGGTCGAGTAGATCATGTTGTGCGGGGTGGAGAAACCTCACTCCGCGCAAGGGGGATGATCGCACCACGTTGTGTTAAAATGGTCAAGCATCCTCGAGGCAGTTACACAGTGCCTACAACTGTCTCTGGAAGTGAAAGCACCAGAAAATAAACTAAGTCATACGCAGCTGTCATCCGTACGCAAGGAAGTAAGCACAAGATGCCGAACACCCTTAGCAGGATGCAGCTGACCCTTCATGCGACTCGCCGAATACCTCACGGCGCTTCGCGCTTGGTGATGTGAGAGCCTGGTCCGGTGAAAACCCGGCCTGCTCCGTCCCGGCTTTGTAGGGATGCGAGGTCAATGGTCTAACGACTACGGCATGCACGACCACGACTATGAGTACCCCCCCCCCCCCA